ACTTGGTGATGGTTGGATGATAATAATCATCATATTCATCTATAAGGGTACACAGGAATTAAAAATGTAACCACTAATGAATAAGCTAACGATGATAATAATAATAACTAATAATAAGAATTAGAATAACTTTCTAATTTGATGAGCGAGTCTAGTTGCGAACAAGCCTTACCATCTTCCTCTTGAGGGAGAATACAGCATCCCAGGGTTTGAAATACACGGACACAAGCTCTAAAGAAAGCATTTCTTGAATGCGGTTTGACAYGRGTGTTCTTGTTTTTCTTCTTACTGCTTTTTCGTTTTGTCATATTTCTGAAACAACAAAACAAAGAATGAAACAATGAGAAATCACGATGGTTTCTGGAAATTTCCTGCTGCGACAAGAGATWAGGCATCTTTTGCTTAGAATTGTTTGCAGAATTTTTCCTCCAGCTCGTTCAATAGAACTGCTTACTAAATATGGTTCAGGAAATGGTTTGACGATCCTCTTCAACATTTTCAGTTCGCAACTCAATTAGTAAATGCGCGACGCACACGAATATGCGGGAAATATTGAAGACAAGTTTTTTTTAGAAGGAAAACTCACCTCAATTTTCAATTTCAAGTGCAAAGGAGTTAATAAATCTCCGCAAAAAAGTCTTTTCAAATACCTCGCTAGCTGATAAGGTTTTAGCTTAACAACTGACTTGAACGAGTGGTTCTAATTTGATAATTCAATTATGACGTAGCTTTTGAAGTGACGTTTTCATCGAAAAGGATTTTGGGTAGAGCGCGCTCAAAGTTCAAATACACAATTTTTTAAATAAGTTTTAGTTAAGTTATTTACCGGCTTTTTTGACCATGTGCAAAAGAATTATAAAACGAGGGTCCATGGTGATAAAAGATTTATTTAACCGAAGCCTCATCTATWGTTCTTTTTGCCAACCTCGTTCCCAGGGCCTTCTCCACTCTCAAAATGGCGGACGCTCGTGCGACGACGTCATTTTAAAAAGAGCCAGCCGAGAGACCCTGGGGACAAAGTTGYCCTTTTGCATATGTATTGGGTTATCTGTGGTTCCAAACGAACGCGAGAACGAGGCCTTCATTAGCAAGGTGGAATTGTTCAAAATCTTCAACTTGGAATCAATGTTGTTCACCAAATGCATTGTCAAATGTCTTGATAGTTCAACTGCACAGCCAATTCAAGCGTTTTGGGCAAATGAAAAGCAAAGTTATGTTGGCGGGATGTTCTTTTGAGAGTTTAGCTTTTCGCTGCACAAAGAAGAGTGTGTTGGGAGTAGGTTAGTAAGCTTACGTTATTTTTATTGCTCTTTCGACTCTGTACGGTTGTTATCCTACAATCTTTTACCAATTGGCTTGCTGCATTTCAACGCTGTTCTCCATGGAGATGCAATAAATTTTGCATTGCAAAAGCACCTTTACTTTGTTCAGTAACAGCAGAATATCATACCTCTTTCAGTGACTGATAGTTATATTTGAAATTGATTTAAGCTTATCAGCTGTAGATGACAATATGATTCAAACATTTTTAAAATATTGTGACACAACAATTTTTTAGTTCACTTAGTAGAAGAGTATTCCAGTCGTGTAAAGGCAAACACACAATCTCTTTTTTTTTTGTTCATTATTTTCTAAAAGTTTGGTGGGGGACTAATTTGCAGCAATGGGCAGAAAGCTAATACAATGAAACTTTTACGCTTTGGAGTGAGAACAACATTAGCATAAGAAATTAATCTCCCTGGAAAAAAACATTGAAATCTTTTTTGTAGGTGAAGCAATGCAAGTTGCATCAACACACAGTTATTTAAGGACAACAAATAACTTTGTCTTTTGATTGAGAGCAAGAACAAGAAAAATTGTAAAACAAGAAAATTTGCAAGAACAAGAAAATTTGTACAGAAAGAGATTGAGTGGGTCCMACAGCTTTTAACTTTGACCCATTCTATTTCAGCTGTCCTTTCATGGATTCAAGGCCACGACTATGGCAAATCTGGAAATCAAATGACTGTATGGAGTTTTGGTAGGACTTTGAAGATGTAGATTGCATCTCAGCACAAACACAAAGACTGTTTTGACATKAAGATTCTTGGTAAAGCTAATAATATCCTGGGAATTAATCCTGGCAGTCAAGTTAATCAGTAATAATATTGGATAGCAATCCAGATATTTTCAAGCTGAGGATACGATAAAGGATTGATGGAACTGAGCACTGACCAAAGACCTTCTGGTGATGATTTATTTAACATCCAGGAAATCAAACCTGTTCTTCCTGGTCAATGTATAATTGGATTGCAAAGATTGTCAGAAGAAGAGGCATTAGTGTAGATCAAAATACTTGACATTTGGCAGGGAAACCAAACTGAAGGTTAGTTTACATCATAATTATATAAATCGGAGAGTGTGCAACAAAAAAGTTTAGGAATTGATTGTTGATGGCRATAAAAATCAAACATAATCAAGAATTTTTTCAAGTTAATTGAAGATCTTTGATGTTGTTTGTTGGAAGTGTTTATAAGCAACCATATAGTAACTGTGTTTCCATAGTAACTGGATTCCCATTGTAACTGAGTTTTCAGTTGCACATTTTCCAATATCTCTGTTTTGTCGAGTTGGCCTTAGATGATTGATTGCACAATTGACATGACCTTTTAATTAAAATTTTGAAATTGATAATAATTAATAAATAAAAAATACTTTGGATATCACAAAAAAAAAACATCCAATAATTGTTTTATCATACGCTGCTTGCATGCTTAAAATGAAGACTCTAGCAAAATAAACCATGTTAAAGTGCAATGTTATGGTGAAAAGCTGCAACTGGGCCATAATTTCTTGGCGCTATTGCTCAGCAGTGCATTGTGGTTGGAGCCTACAGATCAAAAAGGTCATTCGCTAGTAAAATATCTTCTCATTAATCTGTAGGTTTGTCTGATTATGGAGAGTAAATGATAGCCTGTTAACCAATCAGATTTTAAATAGTTAATACAATGGTTGACTTGCGAATTTTGCCTAAGCAGTCTCACACAAAGGAATCAAGACGAGGCGCCGTGCATAATGCTCAGTCATTCGTGAAAAGACAATAGTTTTTCACAATAGACTRAGCTTAATGCACGGCACCTGGTCTTGATTCTTTTATGTTTGACTACTGAGGCCAAAATCGCAAATCGGCTATTGATATTTTATTTTTTCATAAGCATTTCAATGTTGYTTTTGTTTTATTTCCACATATTTCTTTATTAGGATTTTCTAAAATTTCAATAAYATTATGTACTTTCTATTTCTACACAACTGTTTCCCTAACTGATTCCAGTAATACAAACATATTCCGGTCAAACTTGCGCGTTTGAAGTATAGCCGCCGATGGACTGGAAACTACATCCGGGATTTCTTTATCTAAGCGTGTAAGTTTTGTTTTGGGGATATTCTTAGTTTTATTGTTGAAAAATGTTTTCACTGGGTCGTAAGATCCAGAGATCTCTGGCGCTTTTTCAGGGCATGAATTATTCTTAACAACGGCAACCAATGGCTGCAGCTTTTTAGCTGAATTTCCATCGATAGTTGGATCCCATTCAAGAGACATGGACGAATTTGGAATGTCATCTTGACTTGTGCTGCAAGTGATTTGATCTGTAGAATCGTTTTGCGTCATGTTGGATTCCGTRGATGACTGACTGTTTAATAARCGCTGTTTCATTTCAGTGTCCGAGTTGCAATGTTCATAAGTCTTTTTGAAGCTTATTCGCTTCTCTTCAGTACAAGAGTCAACTACGGTTTCCGTAGTATTTGTTTCTGGAGAGGGAAGTAGTTTCGCAGTGTCACCACTTACTGGTGATGGCTTTTCAGTTTTAACTAACATACTATCATTCTCTTGCTTATCCATTAAGTTAACTAAACACTCCGTAACGTGTTCACATGAATTGTTATTTATATGGCCGTTCGTTTTGCTATTTGTTCGTCTAACGTCCTTAGTCCGAGCTTGGCCATTCCAGTTTTCACTATTCTTCCGCCTTGCCAAAAGCCCTGCTCCCCAAGCTGATTTATACGAGCCAGTAGATTTCTTTTTCCATCTTCTCCCGTATTCCAGTACTGAATTACCTTCATTATCAACGTGTTTGTACACTGCTAGGCGAAATCTTCTACCGCGGGAAAATTCCGATTGTGATTCTTCCACTGTGTCTTTTCCGAACTCGCACTTGAAGAAATTCTTAAAAACGGCTTTGAATTCCTTATTTAGTCCGTACGCGATTGGATTGAGCGCGCTGTTTGCCATCGGAAAAACATTGGCGAAACGTATGATGTAAACCCGGTACTTATAGTTCCATAAATCCCCATAGACTAATAATAAGTACACAATATGCTGAGGTAACATACAGACCGCATAGAGTACGACTAACGCGATCAACATATTGGTGATCTTTGCGCTCTGTCTTAGTCTTTGCCGAACGGCTGTTGCTACAACCTTGGAAGTCTTTTCCAGCATCTGAAGTGAATTTCTCCGTAGTTTCACGGTAATAAGAATCGCCAGCACCAATATTATACCAAGTGGGAGTATATACTGTATAACAAATATAGAAATCCAATAGATCACGCTGTAGGGTCCTTCTGGCCAATCYTCGTCGCAGTAGACCATACCAGGCGCTGGGGATATTGTTCCCGCCACAAAAACCAACGGCGAAGCGACTAATAGCGAWATTARCCATATTGATARCAATATCCATCGCACACTTCTTATGCTAAGTTTAGGCTTCATAGGGTAGGCAATTGCACGATAACGATCRCTCGTTATGGCCARCAAAGTAGCTATTGAAGCTGATAAACAAACTGGAATGACAAGATACACTATCTGACACGCAAAATTACCCAAAGGCCAATTGTGGTCGTTTTCAAAGGCAGCCATTTGGGTTGGTATGTAGATAACGACRATCATCAGGTCCGACATAGCGAGATTGAATGTGAAGATATTATTGCTTGACCTCATCCTTTTGCGACGAATAATGGCCGAGCAAACGACGAAGTTCAAAATCGACCCAACCAGAAAAATGCTTATGAATATRATTCTCAAAACCCAACGAAACGGTTCGGGCTCGAGAGAATTTCCACCGTGACTTTGTGCGCTGTTATTTGTCGAATTAATCATGGTCTATTCTGTACGTTTTTTAAGTGATTTGAATATCTGCGTCCAAGTTGATACTTTTTGGGGGGCGAAAGATCGTGCAGCGGTTCTTTTGAATTAGGCCAGAGGAGAAGATCGATGATTTCACGATCAACAAAGATGAGCTTATTTYAGATCCGATTGGCTTTCCGTCGGGTCGTTAGCACATTGGGATCTGCAATGAGAAGAAAAACATAGAAATCTAGGAATTAATATCATCATTTCACAAGATTAAACAATTTGTTTACAAAAGGTAATCTAAATAACGCGCTGGCTTCTCTGTTGAATAACTAAAATGAATCAAAAGTAACTGATCATTTCAGTTTTTCTTCAATTCAAAAGACTTATTCGTACTGTTATTGCGAGCCTAAGACTTAGAAATATAGAAGTAGCGAAAAATCTGACAAAGAAAGAGATGGTGGAATTGAMTGAGGAAAGCTGCAAATTGTGTTTCAATGACGTACACTCAATCGATAAGTGCTTTCTAAAATCCCAGGGATTTACTGCCGCGATTTGAATATCAGTTTAACCATCAATAACATCCTTAAGATTCAAAGGTCTTGCTTTCCGATTTTTTTCTTTTTAAAAAAGTATACTTAATTACTCTGGCGAGGACTGTTCTGAACAAAATGGCATACAGATCTTTTCACTGAAATCTTTATTCGAAACTCAGTCCATTTAGACAGTTAATATGCCAAATATAAATATAACCTTCCAATCTAATCATTGTTAGATACTTAAAATCAAATATTCCTCTTCAATAAGAACCGAAAAAGCGGCGAAAGCATGTAAAAAGTATTTTCAATTTATCTTTTGAAAAGGRGAAAAATTGCCTTTCAGWKCAGAGTCTTTGAATGAGCGCGCGCAAAAGAAATTGTGATAACTTTTTTAGAAGCAAATCCGTTGGCTAAGTTTAAATTGTTGTTTTAGAGTAATGAGACTCTTGATTTTRACCAATCAGGGGTAGTTAAATTAATGAAATAATTAGCTATTTGGAAATAATCCACGAAGATTAAACAACCTTTTCTTTTTATGATATTCGCAAACTCCTTCCACGTAAGTGTTAATCTCATTTCCTCGGCCAAAATGAAATCCAACAACTCTTTGACGCCTTTGGCCGATCTTTTCGAAATTGATRAAGTTTTAAAGACCTAACGTGATTTTTTGGCASATTCTTAAAACTCTTGAAATCAAGAGATAAACTTATAAGATATTGAAATTGTGTTTATAAGACTATACGTGACCCTATGTTGAGTACACGACTCTTTAGGATTCGGTATACGCATTTCCGTAATTTGGGCAACCTTCAGGCGATGACCAATTTTGAATAAAAGAACAATTGTTTAAATTCAAAAMCTTGTGCGTTCGACTGAATGACGTTAAGGCAAATACAGACAACAAAATGATTCAGTTGCATATCTACAATTCAAATTGTGAACACAAGATTTTTTCTCTAAGAAAACATTCTTTTGTAAATAAGAGTTAATAAGCAATTTGTATTCTTTTCGAGCGATGAACAGTTCAATGAAAACGTCGTGAATTRAAATAGTTTTGAATATTCAAAATTAAAGATAAAAGGGCTAAAATAACGTGTGTTGAGGCTCAACATAAAGTACTAGATAAAATCCTTTCATGAATTGAGGAAGTTGAAAGGTGCAGAGCTTACGTAGACGCTCTAAAACATGGAATTCCTCTTTTAAAGCGTTTAGGCGACGACCAACAATGCATTTCGGTCTTTGAATATCTCCATTAATCAAAATATTCTATAACGACACTGGGAAGAAATAATGCACTGCGCATGCGTAAGTTTTAAACAAAATGTCGAAAAGTTCATACAAATGAACTGGGGAAAAARTATTTCTCATTTACAAAAACAAATTATATACTTCAGTTGAGTGTTGGAAATCAAACTATTATGCCATTGCGAATAAGGAAAACCTAGCTTTTTAAATATTTTTCTTAACTTTTGCGATTTTGTGCAAGACTCATACATCAAAAATATTAGGTTGCCCATAGTTACCGTACGTTTTCTGATCATGCGCAGTGCGTTTCTCCTTACTCTTTATCGGTGAAGTAGAATCAAATAATTGATCCAATGTAATTCATTGCCTATTTGTGACAAGTATTGCCGGCATGTTCTGTTTGTATCTGCTTTTAATAAACGATGGATGAGAATAAATGCATCGCCACCAGATAAATAATTGTATTTCACGGATTTAGGGCTATATTTCACGGATTTAGGGCTATATTTCACGGATTTTTAGGGCTCGATGTAGTATTACTACCAAAACTGATTGCAATTTGCACTCGTTTATAAATTTTCGAGTCATTTATTCTGTCCGACTAATTTCTAARACCTATGTATTGTCAAAAACAAGAAATGCTTGTTTAGTGGACACCATCCAACATTTTGAGCTGCCTGGCAACATTGTTAGACTATGAAAACAAATCCTATCGTGGACAAACGTCTTCAAYCTCAAGCTAACATATTCATTGAAGCCTGTTTTGGGATGTTGAATGCATTATATCCCTGAATATGCTTCATAAAATACTGAACATTTCAACACCATCAAACATGCTGGCCAAGCAGTAAAATGTTAGGTCATCCAAGAATGTTTGATAATTTTTGATAATTCAACGTTTTCTGAGCTGTTTTCGTGACTTAAMTAGCGTCCTGTGCTACACATATAAACTAATTACTTACATTTAGAAGAGCGTCGTTTTTTTAGTTGTTTAAATACGATTTTGAGCAAACAGTTGTTCAAAAACCATCATTGCATTTCTTAAAGTTCATCAAGTACAGTGATGTTGCTAGTGACTGACGAAATACTCTTTTTCTGAGGCAATTAAGTCGTCGTGATGCAGACTAGTATCTGCAAATCAGTGATGTAATCGCGAACGTCTTATGATTGGGAGATGGGRATTGATGCTAATTTGTGGAGTATGTTAGCACGCTTTGAAAGTCATATGGCACGTTTAAGATTTCTCAGTGCATGTTTTGTGAATGAAGGAAGAAATATYGAAAGAAAGAAGCCAAAAGTAGTGTCTTTGGGAAATAAAGAAACGAATGGGAAAAGAGAGAGTAAAAGAGAAGCTCAGAACATGAAATTTCATATCATACCACAATTATTAAGAGTTTCTTCCAAATTTGGCAAAAACGTCGGGCGTACATTACTTAGAAGTTTAATAGGCAKTATAATGTTTTGACAAGTGACCTGACAACTCTACATTGAATTTTGGCAAAATTATGGCGTTTTTCTCTTTACTTTTGAATAGAATTGCAGAAACCTCGGTCGAAAAAAAAAGAAAGAAATCAAATAAATCAAATTTTCAGGGCAGATTTTTAGTTCACAATATCTACAATAATGATTTTCCTTATCTGAAAAAATATAAAATGTTATCAAGTATAGCGTTGCTACATCACGTATCGAAGCAGAATCYCCTTAATAGCATAAACAATCTCGTCTTTTCCTAGAGTATTAAGCTATCTTTATGTTACTAAACTAAAGCACATTCTTATAGCGATCAGCGTGATAATATCTGAGGATACCAACCAAACAGGAAAGAAAATAGTCGTTGTCAGATTTCGCTATCACATGATTAGTTGTACTGTACGTATTTTATCAACACGGCCGCCATCTTGGATTTTTTTGATGATCACGGAGATTTTTCGAGAATTCTACGWAAAAGATTCCTGGTTCTAGTAAAAGATTATCAAAGGGATGATATAATAACATTTTCAAGCTATATWCATATAGGAATCGCAGAGAATTGCTGTTTTTTTGCTTGCAATTATTTTTTTGTTAAAAAACTGAACTTAACATGATCGTTAATATGGTAAAAAAACAATGAATGACAGGGATGCTTCAGTGTATTTCTCTCTGTCTGTCTGTAATTTTTGCCTTTAGCTTTTTAAAATGAATATTTCGATCGTTTTGTTGCATACAATCTTTACTTGGTATATTAATTAATGATCATTATAAAATAATTAATATTTATCACATTCATTAAAGATATAGTATACGTTTGACATGTAACCTATCACATCCATTGCGATGCACCGAATACTGATAAATTACGTCTGATTCTGTGCTCAAAGGGGAATGAAAAAAAAAAACAAGCTCTCCAGCCAAAACATGTTTTTCAAACTCAAAATKTTGCTTTTTTAATTTTTTACGTTAATTTTAATATGAATTTTATTGCAATTAGTCCAAACAACCTTTATTACAACAAGGTACACTGGTTATTCAAGTAATTCAAAGGTCGAACTATGTCTAGACGGACGACAAAGTTTCCGTTCTCATCAATTCGTATTAACATCACCGCTTTCAGTCTGTCTCCTGCTGGTGACACCAGGAGAACACTTTTCTAAATGATTTTAGCCTCGAAATTGAAATTTTGGAGAGACGCGTTGGTCGGGTTGTAAATTATGGACAGGCCTATGCTCGATTCCTATGCCAACCGAGCGCCGATCTATAGGAAAGGTATTCTTCTTTCTCCAGGCTTATTCCAGCTAGTTGAAAAAACGTTGTCAGCTTCAAAAAGACGACATTATTACATTATTACATTATTACATTAAGTAAAAGTAAGTTGCCTCAACATTTGTTTAAGTGGCAAAATCTACTTCAGGCAATAAAGAATTATTAAATAAGGGTTCTTTTATGCTTCAATAAGAAAATACTACATATATATATCACAGATTGCTTTTTTTTCCTTTTTTTTCATGTCTTAAGTACTGTAGTAGTTTGTCGACATTATCGAAGCGCAAACCAAAGGGGTTTTTGGTATACTCCGTGTTTTTATACGTATTTCTTAAGTAACATGTGCATTGTTTCTCATCGAAGACTTCATCGTCTAGTCTAAAAAGTGTTTGGAAACCGAAACACTGCAATACCACGCATAATGTTATTGTGATAATCCTCGTTCCCATGCTCCTTTTCGGCCCTAGCTATAAAAGTGTAGTTTTTTTGTTAACGACAACCTTTTGTTTTAGTTGTATACAGCTATTTGAGGRTGGGTTGTCGGAGAGAAAGGTGTAATTGAGTGATTGACGATGGAAGAATCAATAGTACCCATAATGCCTTTCTCTCGTGCATTCACCGCCAGTTTCTCCGACAATTGTCTTTTAAATATATTGCAAACATCAAAATCATGAAAACCTTTAGTAATTAAATAGTGCTAAATTATGTAAATTATTAGAATTCCTTTGTTTTCTATTGTCAAAAACTAGCTGTGAGGAGTGTCRTGTAGTAAAATAATGAATGTTGAGGTAGTGAGTRTGAGTGAATATATAGAGGGCCACAAGTTTATTAGTCTAGAGACTATTACGTGCTACCTTCTCTAATCTACCTTGTCTAATCTACACTACATTGCAATGTTTAGCCATATTTTGTTAGTGCTTTTAACACTTACACCCTACCGGCGTTTAACTTAAGTTAATCAGTTATTCCACGCGGTCAACATCAAGTCACTTTATCTGGGCGTGGTCCGTCCTAGTTTTAATTTTGCTTCAAAGCATAATATTGCTTATTCCTGTAAACACACTCGATATCATTTCCTAAGTTGCCTTAGGCGGCTTTTTATACTTAGAGCTGGCACTCGGGCTAGTGCTTGACGAAAAGAAATAGATTCTACTCTGAGTAAAGTACAACGACATTGAGTGCAAACACTAAAACCATGAAAACTGACTTTGAATTTAGGCCCAGTTTGCACCATTATGCTTTGCGTGCCTCTGTTATTGTTATGATTTACACCAAAACACCTCTAGTACCCAAATATCACCATAAAACGAATGTCAGTTGGTTGAAAACTCTAATATTAGCGTTTAAAGTGCTTAGAAAAGTGAGATGGTCAAAGAATCGAAACGCACAGTACAATTTATAGACTTTTGGTAAACTGAAAAAAGCATAATGGTGCACACTGGACCTTTAATGGTGTTTTTCTATATTCAAATCTGCACTATGTTGCGCTGTTTAACGCTATTCGGTTAGTACCTTTTTAAGCCTTTCGTGTTTGCACGCTATAGACCCCTTGCAGTTCATGGGAATGCAGCTGCAACTGGAGGACAAAACAATGGATTCTAGTTCCCAAGAGGATAAAAATCTTTTGTTTTGTCCTCCAGATGAAGCTGCTTTGACGTCACATGCAAGGGGTCTATAGTATTTCAAACAGTTTGGTTCACTTCTGGTATGTCTGGATACTTAGACCAAATTTACGAAAAAAAGGCAGTTTCTCTGGACAGGACTCGAACCCAGCACCCCCATCTCATCATATCTGCTCCGACTGGTTAATTTTAAGTCATTATGATGGTCAGCTAAAGGTCTGGGCGTTTTTGAGCYCATTTTCAAAATGCGCTCTTTTGACATTGCATTTGAACCTCTTACAGACCCGGATTATTGGACATTAAGAAAAATGCTTATAATGGACTGTTTACGTAGGAGCGAGGTAACGTACCTCCGCAATKTAGTTGAAATGTAGAGTGAACACACTGAAAGCGGGAAAAGTACAAAATAAATATTACTAAATAGCGCAATATAGTGTAAATAATATAATAGAAAACAAAGGAATTCGCATAATTTAGTACAATTTAGYACGGTTTAATTACTAAAGTTTTCCGTGGTTTTAGTGTTTGCACTACAGCTTATAATGTAATTTTTGCTTTCATAGTTTTGTCAAAACGCTGCGCTGATATTGGGTATTATATTGTTGATGTCAAAGCGAAAGCCAGAGTTATTTGATTTAATGTTCTTACTTTGATTAAAATTGCTGCTCTACCCATGTTTCAAAGCGAGCTTCCTTCCTTTTTTCATTTGTTAACCTTTCAAAGAGCATATATTTATTTGATAATTAGCTGTATGGCCAAGTTCTGCAGTGTAAGCTTTCCCTCAATTTTTTTTTCTTCTTGTTCGACCTCCAGCCCGTRTATTACCACTAATTAAAAACTACTTTTGACTCAAATCAAAACAAAATACACAATAGAAATTACTCATAAAATAAAACGCTCTTTAGGAATTCAATTTTCGCTCTGAAATTTGTCCTGCCSGGAGGTTCTACTGAGGTTTACATTGAAGTCAAATAGGGAGATATGAAGAAACAGTTCGGAGCTACAGTGGCCAAGATGACGCCTCTTTTGAATGGTCTGTTTTTAATTGATCCTTTGTGTTCAGATCTTTGGCGGTTCACCACTAAGGACTTATTATTTTTAACTGTTTGAACAATGGACCGATATCAGCAACGTAGACAGAAGTTCTCCAAGAAATTCTCAATAAATATACAKAGATGTCCTCTCATCTTGCCACTTTGTACGAGCCATTTTGGCGATTTATTCTGTGTAATTATAGSCCCTTAATATGTTTCATGTTTGCCTTTTGTAGTTCTTTATACCGCCGCCAAAGATAAATTTAATTTTTTAAATTTGGTAAATAGTAGTTATTTAGAGCTCAACTATTTACTTCACACTTCAAGTCCATACCAACTGAATATCGTTCTATAATTTCACTAGTTTTTCGTATCATAAGTACAATATTTAAGAGACCGCCACATGCTTTGATTTAATTGCAAATTCAACACTACTGAAAAAGTCTTCTCTATTCATTGAAATCTCGGTTACGTATTTCCTAAATCCACTTTTGACCTACTTTTTAAATTTCAAAAAGCTTTTGCTAAGCTTATGGTAACAAAGTACATAATTCCAGCTAGAAAATCTCCTTAGTAATTTTTGATAAAAAGTACTTGATTACTGGTTTCCTTAGAGATATTTTATRAGATTTTCATTTCAAAAACATTGAAAACAAATTTTGAAAATTATCAATAAAGTCCACATTTCTTAACACCACGAAACCTAACCTATATCAAAGCTTACCTTTTAGCGAGGTTGTTAGATACTGTATATTGTCGGTGRTGAGTGGTATTTTATGTAGACGTTTTTCCGAGCTAAATCCAAGTAAAAAAGCAAGGCCTTAGATCATGTGGGCGAGCTTATAATCCCCTTGTTTTGACGACATCGAATATGTAAACTCCGATCTTCAGCAAAGTGTGCGAACAAACTCATGGCAACTCGATGTCCTTGATTTAGGACAATGAGTATYAATAGATAAGAAGCCCTTCTTAGTCGCACGACACTCCATGTTTAATACAATGAGTCAAATATRGTTATGGGAAGCCGCGTGTCATGCAGYTCTAATATTCGCGGTTTAATTGAGGGASAGTKTAAAACAAATAATGGAGAAATTGAAAAGTRATGTCATCCAATGGCAACTGCATCCGTTTTACCTATTTAACGATAGCATCAGGTATTTTTATACCTCAGGCAATGTCGAAATAGATCTAAATATGCTGTCTTCGTATTTTGCGGTATTACCGGTCTATGTTTAGAGAACAATCTTTGACTAAGAAGTCAATTGTMAGAGATGTTTGCGAAACACCTCGTTATGTTGTTAATGGCGGTTGCAGTAAATGTGTTCATTATTAGGAACTTAAAATAGTCGTCGTTGTCGCCCCAACAATCATCACTATYATCAATACAGCTAATTGAAAGAAAAAGCACGTTGTCGAGTTTAAATAAAAAGTCTTCATTGTCGAARCTRAGACCGAAAGGKAACATGGGAAATCATGCAAAATTGTCCCWGTTMAAGTWTKAAAACGATGCTGATTGGCAAGAAGAATCRCAATCAAGATGGCGGCCGCGTTTATACAGYGAARMAACGAGAAGTTGRAWGTGTTGTGAAGAACGTGCAATATGCAAGCGATTTCTTGTAGGTCAAACGTTGATCTTGTTCTTCTCTTTTCGCMGCACCTTTGCCCAAATTACAGTTAGTTAAAACTGAAAATTGGGTATGAAACCAGAAACATCGTTTTGAAATCTGGTGATTGATGAGACTTATTSGTTWRGGTAGCGTTTACATATCSAGTCCACAACGAAAGTATAYTSATTSA